AAATGCAATCTTCTCAATGGAGAGATCTAAAGCCCCAGGACCTGATGGTTTTACAATGGCTTTCTATCAAGATTGTGGGAGATAATTGGGGGTGACTTGATGGAACTTTCATCGCTTTGATACCAAGGAAAGTGGATGTAATCCAGCCAAAGGACTTTAGGCCCATAAGTCTGATAGGAAGCATGTACAAAATCATTTCCAAGGTTTTAGCCCTAAGAATAAAATATGTACTTCCGTCGATGATTTCTCCAAATCAAGGGGCTTTTGTGTTTGGGATACAAACGATGGATCAAATTCTCATCGCCAATGAATGTGTAGAGTTTAGAAGAAGGAAAATGCAAAAGGGACTGGTTTGCAAGTTGAACTTAGAAAAGGCTTATGACATGGTGGACTGGGAGTTTTTGTTGAACATTCTTAAGTGTAGGGGTTTCGGAGAAAGATGGTGTAAATGGATGAAGGGATAAATTTCTTCATATCACTTTTCAATTTTTCTAAATGGAGTAGCAAGAGATTTTTTTCCAACCAAAAGGGGCCTTAGACAAGGAGATCCTCTATCCTCTTTCCTTTTTACTCTGGTAACTAATGTATTGAGTGAATTGATCATAAGGGCAAATGCCAACAATATGATTAGAGGCTGGAGAGTTGGAAGGGACTAGTTTGGTGGTTATACACCTACAATTTGCAGATGATATTATCCTGTTTTGTGAAGGGAAAGCAGAAGAAATTATGAACCTAAAAAGGATAGTCCATAAATTTGAATGGATCTCCAACCTTAAGATTAATTGGAGCAAAAGTTGTGTGGCAGGAGTAAATTTAGGGAGTGAAGAGGTGATTCTACTAGCTAGACTATTGGGGTGTGAAGTAGGGGATTGGCCATTACAATATTTGGGACTACCATTGGGAGGAAATCCTAATATAGATAGTTTCTGGTACCCAATGATTGGGAGGTTTACAAAGAGACTTGCGAACTGGAAGAGAAACTACATTTCTTTAGGAGGTAGGATAACCCTAATAAAGTCAACTTTGGCTAACTTACCAATGTACTTCCTATCTTCCTTTAGGATACCGATGAAAGTGGCAAACCAGCTAGAGAAGATCATGAGGGACTTCCCTTGGGAACCAAGAGACACCAAAAAAGACCATCTAGTGAAGTGGGAGGTGGTTTCTAGAAGTAGAGATGAAGGGTTCTAGGAATAGGAAATATTAGGCTAAGAAACACAACATTATTGGAGAAATGGTTTTGGAGATTGCCATTGGAACAGGGCAGGCTTTGACATAGAGTGATTATTAGCATTCATGGATTGGTAAACAATGGCTGGGATGCAGGAGTCGACCCTAGGGCTTCTCGATGCTCTCCATGGAAAGCTATTCATAGTATTTTACCTTCGTCCTTCCTTACTTCAAATTTGATGCTTGTGCAGAAAATAAAGTGTTGTTTTGGGAAGATGTTTGGATTGGAGACATTCCCCTTAGTGAAAAGTTCCCTTCTATTTATTCACTGTCAAAAAATAAAAGAAAAGTGATCTCAATTTTTACTAATAATTCTTGGGACTTGGGTTTGAGGAGAGGTCTAAGGGAATTGGAAATGGCAATGGTGGACGAATTAATTAACCTTTTAGGGTCAATCTATCTAGATCAATCTTGTTTGGAGAGTAGAATTTGGAAACCTTCCCCATCTAATGCTGATCAAAAAAAAAAACTTCCCCATCTGGCATGTTAACTTGTTCCTCCTTCTTTGATGTCCTCATTCAATCATCAAACCCTACAAGGAGCTTTCCTTCAAAGGAGACTTGTAGCCTCTGCTTGGGCTCTAGTCAGATAGTCAGACGACCACACACCTATTAATTTCTTGTCCATTCGTGTGCTTTATTTGGGTTTGGTTCTCTTCTATCTTTGGTTACAGGTGGACACCTCCCCCGGACATGGCAAGACTTTTTGTCCCAAGCTTTTTCAGGCAACCGAAGAGATGTGGAAGATTAATGTGGAGATCCCACAAGAGAAGCTATCTTATGGTCAGTTTGGGAAGAAATGAACAATAAAATCTTTAAAGGAGTGGAGAAATCCAAGGAGGAAATTGTAGAAAGGAAAATTATTGACTATTCAATGGTTGAAAACTTTGGATTTGTTTAAAGACTTCTCAACTGAAGACATTTATAGGAATTAGTGGTGGCATCTACAATTTCCATAAAACCTATTGTGCAGGAATTGTGGTCCCCACCAATACAACAAAGAGTAAAACTGAACTTTGGCAGGAGTTCTAGAGGTAACCCGAGCCCTTCAAGTATAGGAGGAGTATTTAGAGATGAAAATGGCAAAATTGTGGCTATGTTTTCAGGACCAATAGGAGTGGGGGACTCATTGAGAGTAGAGGTGATGGCCTTGCTTCAAGGTATAAGATATGCCAAACAGTTGGGGTTACACCAAATTGACATAAAGGGAGACTCTAAATTGTTGATTGAGTGGCTGCAATCTGATAAGTTGGGAGCCTGGATTTATAGACAGCCCATAAGGGAAATCCTCAACACAACAAGGGAGATTGGTGCATGCTTCAAATGGACAAGGAGATCAGCTAATGGTTTAGCTGACACGTTGGCTAAACAAGGGATTGTGAGGGAGAGAATGTTCTGGGAGTTTTGTAAGAAAGATTACTGGGGGCTCAACACCTGTTTAGGGGTTGACAGCTGTACTTAACCTTGGAAAGTTATACTTAAGTTGTATTAATGAAGTTACCATTTCCAATAAAAAATTAATGAAAAGAAAATCTACATAGTAAGATCCTTGCTAATTTATAACCACTATTCATCTTTTTAACTAACTTGTATTCAATTTTTCCATACAGAAGATTGCTATACTATAAAATAATAGAAAACAGTAGCTATTCTCAAGATTACAAGATGTCTTGTGGTTTAATTGAAGTTATAGAAAACCATGTGAGATAAGACATGTACAGAAAAGAAATAAATCCACCGAGGTTTATATTGCTGAATGTCTAGCTAGGATCCAAGGTTCAAAATATCACAACGTATAAATGTGTATTGTACAATAGGTATTGGTTTTTTAACCCACCGAAACGCTGAATACAGGGATTTANGGGGGGGGTCCTCTTTGTGTTTAAACATTAGAACTCCTCCTAACATGTTTATTGTAAAAACTCAGACTGAAGAGCTAAAAAAAGGAATATATATGATCATCCCTTTGAATTGCATTGTGTATCACATGCATTGATACTTTGAACCAGTCTTGGATCACTCGCTAGAAGGCCCAACTGTTAGTCCTTCAGTTTACAATTTGTCTTCAACAATGACCAAAGACATTGAATTAGATATGTATCTCTGTTCAATTAAGTATCACAAGATTTTTTTTTTTTTGGGGGGAAGCCTAAGGTTCAACAAGATCCTAATTGACCTTAGACATGCACAGATACTACAGCCATACAGTGAACATGGATAATGTCCCCATCAATAATGAGTCAATTCTCAGTTTTAACTTAAGGCAAGTATTGATGGAATGGGGGAAAAACTTAAGAATTTCTACTGGTTATTGCATCTAGCTCACCAGTTTTAAGTTTGAACAGCAAGTTAGTGGTCTAACAAACTAATTACTGCTAAAACAGAGAATGCATTTTTGGGGTGATATCGATGCCAGACTAAAGAGCAGGGACAATCATTCCAAGACCTGGCCCAGCCTGAACCCTGGACCTGAAATATAAGCCTGGGCCTGGCCCTATATGAGCCTTGGCTTTCTGAGCATACATGCATAGGCCTAGACCCAAAAATTTGCTTACCAAGCCAGGACTGCTAATCCCTACTAAAGACAACAAGAATTGGATTCACATGGAAGTTATAGTTCAAGTACAACAATTCTAGGCTAATACAGAACAGTAAATAATATCTGAATAAAACAATTAAGCAATGAAGAATTCAGTTTCTGAGAAAACTGTAATCATAAAATCTAGTCAAGGCAGATCAGTTCAGGAGACTCAATCAGAGCATAGATCATGGTTCTTCTTCATGGAGTAAAGATGATTTATCTTAGGATTTCACCAGGATGGAAATTGAAGAGGACTCATAGGTAATTTAATGGATCAATGAGGGAGGGAATTAAGGAATTATGGCATTTGTGAAATTTTACTAGGGAAGCTAAATTGGCTTCCTGAGTGAACCCAGATCAGTTAAAACCAGATGTTAGTGTGATTAGTGAGGTTTCACAAGATCTAAAGACTTTTTGGGGCTTAGCTCTAGCAGGATAGTATTTTGGGCCATACATAAGCTTCTCTACTTTTCTTTTCTTTGGATATAGATGATGAGCTAATTAAGGCCAGTATTGGTTCTTGTTCATTGCTGGAACTTTCTTTCCAGGTACTTTTCTCACTATGAATGTAACTCACTGTTACTGATCAATATAAATATATAAATACACAAAGGTATACATTAATACATATCTATATAGACATATACACCTATATAGACATACATATCTGTGTGTGTGGGCCCAGGAGTGTGTTTCTGCCAATCAGGTTGTTTAGTAAGCTTCCCTGAATGACCCATTAATTTTCCATGTGGCAATCCAATTGGAAGCCTAAAAAGGGCTCAACATGTTTGTCTTGCTGGACTAGACTCATGGGGTAAATTTCAGCCTGAAAGTACTTGCCACATGTCAATAATAAATCTTCTTTTCTGGACAAGTTTACAATAAAAAATTGTAAATTCAAACTGCTAATATTTGTTTGGGAAATTGATAACAAAAATGTTTGGGAAACCACCAATACAAGGTGGAATATAGGGCTGCTATGTCCTGGAGAGTTGAACACTTGGCCAATCCAAAGGATCCTTGACACTCTGGACTGTTTGAATATGTCAATCATCCCTCCACATGGAAAAAATAGGGTGAATTGCGTAGGGAAGTACCTACTTAATCGTTTTTTTTTTTTTTGTTAATAAAGAAGAAATCAATAAACTGAGGCAGACTCAAATAGAAAGAATATTAATTAAACCACCTACAATTTAAACCATTAGCATCAGATGATTTTAACTTTCCAACAATAATCTCTCCCACAAATGGCCGAAACATAATCAATCTGAACTGCACCTGCCAAGATATAATGACATGATGAGTCATATGAAAATGGAAAAAAAATAAGCAAAATATTAATTGTTTCTTGATTCTATCAGGGTAAAATGAGAGATCCAATCCTTTTTCTAACAAGTGCAGTATTACCCTTCTAAAATGAATTACAAACCCCTTGGTTGTTATTTTTTCATGCAAACTTGCATTCTGCCACAAAGAGTATTACAATAAGACTACAAAGTAGAATTTTTGTCCTTCTTAACTAATGAAAGATTCTTAGAAAATACATGAACATGATGCACATATTCCTCAATGAGCACCACCAGCACTATGTGAAGTATAAGAGATAGTTTCCACGACATATTTCCATTTCCACTTCCAAGGATAGCAACATGAAATTTATTGGAATCAACATATTCCCCAATGAACACTACCAGCACTATGTAGAGTACAAGAGATAGTATTATAACATAAGTTGGTAACAATATTGTATATATGTAGAATAACAATGCTATTGCCCGCCTAACTTGATTACCACTTTGAGCTAGCTCAATATTCATTACATGAAGTTAAATATTAGTTTTTATTTGTGTAATAGATTATTTGGTTGATCTATTACAACCATTTACACTTTCTATGAGTTTAAATTTTGCTTTAACCCATCCTATCATGAAGCTCTGAATCTTAAGGTTTACAGGGCAATTTCAGAACGTATTCTTTTGTCTATAACCTTAGTTTCTTAGCTTTGTTTAATGAATTGGAACAAGATAATAATCTAAAAAGGTGTGCCTATGCTTCCTTTATTATTCCATAAATTATCATTCTATATTTTGCATATTTTACAATGTTACCACCATGTCTATAATTTTTACAATATTTCCATACGATATTTTAGACATTTCTAACATGTTTCTTATATTTTGGACGACCGATATTTCCACCAATACCGACATTTTAAACCTTGAGAACGTTTTTAATTAATATCAACTTTTCCTCCTTTGGACAAATATTTTCCTTTCTAGGATGCCAGCCTCCCATCCACCCTCTCCACCACCGCCTCCCAAATCTTCTTTGAAGTGCACTTCTCTCTCAATGACATGCCCAAATATCTTTTAGGCAATTTACCTACTTATAGAATAAAGGATATCTTCTTTCCTTTGAAGTGCAATTTTTTTTTTGTTAAATAACATCAATTCCATTAAAATAATGAATGGATACAAGAAGATCCCCTTAGAGGCGCGAGGAGCAGCCTCTCCAAACAGCAAATACACAAACTACAAYARAGAWAACATGAATGTTGAAATTAAAACAATAGTTACAATTGTGCCCAGAACAATGTTTCCCTATTTATCCCTTGTTTTGCCAAGACATCAGCAAAAGCATTAGCT